ACTGAGTTGTAGCTCGCTATATACTGAGCTGTAGCTCGCTATATACTGAGTTGTAGCTCGCTATATACTGAGCCTTGGGTCACGGGAGGACGCTAGTATATGTCCTCCCGTGACCCTCAAGAGAACTATGGGGAAAAACACTGACCTTATAGTTCTCTTTTAAGTGCACTCATCCTTTCAATAAAACTTTATATTAAAAAAACAAAACTATAACGCAACTATGCGCACGCACAGCTTCCCACCGTAGAAATAATACTTTATGTATAATGTAATAATATGTAAACTGACAGAAAGGTAAATTTGCTTTTTTAAAGAGACTGAAAACAAATATTTTTACAGAGGAACCAAAATAAAGAAAGTTTTGTTTCCTGAATCCTCAGAGGACTGAAAACAAACAACAGCGGCTTTACACACTGACCTGGAGACATCGTTCTCCTCTGACAGTGTCAGATCTCTGGACAGTTCACCGTCTCTGATGGCACTGAGGGTTAGTTAGGTGTGACCGTGATCTTTGTATCTTTATTCTCCCTCCAGTCACCGGGATTTATATTACCAATAACAGGGGCATCCCGAGGCTGGGTGACACCCGGAGCGGTAGCTGAGTGTCACCCCGCCGAGACGTCACTGCGCATGACGTCACCACGCGCGTGCGCGATGGCGTCATCGCGTACGCGCGGCAGTATTCTGATACCTGCCGGCGGCAATCTTGGTGATGGACGCCGGCAGAGAGAGGAGGGGACAGTCACCCGGCGGGATAAGGTATGCCGCCGGGTCCCCTCCTCTCTCCTGATACTGTCGGCCGTTCGGTCCATGACCGAGCGCCCGACTTTTCACAGGGGGGTGACACCAAAATGACTGTGAGTCATTTTGGTGTCACCCCTCCAATGGTGTCACCCGGGTGCGGGCCGCAGCCCCCGCACCCCCCCTTGTGACGCCACTGCCAATAAGAAAATGTTCACTCAGCAAAGTCAATCTGCGATGTAGAAGCGGACCCGTCCTCAGGTGAGGCTGCTGCATTATATTTATTTTCTCCGGTTTTGTTTCCTTATTGGTGGTCCTGCCAGTAACACACTTCCTGTACTAGGGTGACAACGTTCACTCACTGATTTACTGTAAATGTGTGATTTGAAATGATATAAGAGATAAGTGGGAGGGACCTACATTATAAATAGGTTACTATATATTGGATGTTGTCTGGAATTCTGCTTCTAATTTACGTCTCAGCTAATTTGGGGACGTTATTCTTTCATGCCGCTAATCCCAGATAATGTCCGCTGGGTGGGCGTTTAAATTTAGGGTGACAGCAGGCGATACATTCCTGATCTGTGACACCTGTTGTTGTCTCCCCCCCAGGTCTCGCCTTCATCTGTTTGTTTTACTGGCTCTGTTCACTTTAGAATATCTGCCCGAAAGGTTTCTCCCCATGAAGACGTCAGATATGCCCATTAACACCTGTCACCGCAGGTCACACATGACATGTCCCAAATTCCACCCATGTATTTGTAGACGGGGCGTGTAATGTGCGGAAGACATATGTATGGGGGAGGGGGGTGACCATGTCATCCCAACCGTCAAATATTTAAAAATATTATTATACATTTATATAGCTCTTACATATACCGCAGTGCTGTACAGAGAACACTGAGCCAGTCACATCAGTCTCTGTACAGAGGAGCTTACCCTCTAATGTCCCCTCCCCCACAGTCACACACTATTATTATACATTTATATAGCTCTGAGATATACCGCAGCGCTGTACAGAGAACACTGAGCCAGTCACATCAGTCTCTGTACAGAGGAGCTTACCCTCTAATGTCCCCTCCCCCACAGTCACACACTATTATTATACATTTATATAGCTCTGAGATATACCGCAGCGCTGTACAGAGAACACTGAGCCAGTCACATCAGTCTCTGTACAGAGGAGCTTACCCTCTAATGTCCCCTCCCCCACAGTCACACACTATTATTATACATTTATATAGCTCTGAGATATACCGCAGCGCTGTACAGAGAACACTGAGCCAGTCACATCAGTCTCTGTACAGAGGAGCTTACCCTCTAATGTCCCCTCCCCCACAGTCACACACTATTATTATACATTTATATAGCTCTGAGATATACCGCAGCGCTGTACAGAGAACACTGAGCCAGTCACATCAGTCTCTGTACAGAGGAGCTTACCCTCTAATGTCCCCTCCCCCACAGTCACACACTATTATTATACATTTATATAGCTCTGAGATATACCGCAGCGCTGTACAGAGAACACTGAGCCAGTCACATCAGTCTCTGTACAGAGGAGCTTACCCTCTAATGTCCCCTCCCCCACAGTCACACACTATTATTATACATTTATATAGCTCTGAGATATACCGCAGCGCTGTACAGAGAACACTGAGCCAGTCACATCAGTCTCTGTACAGAGGAGCTTACCCTCTAATGTCCCCTCCCCCACAGTCACACACTATTATTATACATTTATATAGCTCTGAGATATACCGCAGCGCTGTACAGAGAACACTGAGCCAGTCACATCAGTCTCTGTACAGAGGAGCTTACCCTCTAATGTCCCCTCCCCCACAGTCACACACTATTATTATACATTTATATAGCTCTGAGATATACCGCAGCGCTGTACAGAGAACACTGAGCCAGTCACATCAGTCTCTGTACAGAGGAGCTTACCCTCTAATGTCCCCTCCCCCACAGTCACACACTATTATTATACATTTATATAGCTCTGAGATATACCGCAGCGCTGTACAGAGAACACTGAGCCAGTCACATCAGTCTCTGTACAGAGGAGCTTACCCTCTAATGTCCCCTCCCCCACAGTCACACACTATTATTATACATTTATATAGCTCTGAGATATACCGCAGCGCTGTACAGAGAACACTGAGCCAGTCACATCAGTCTCTGTACAGAGGAGCTTACCCTCTAATGTCCCCTCCCCCACAGTCACACACTATTATTATACATTTATATAGCTCTGAGATATACCGCAGCGCTGTACAGAGAACACAGCCATTCTGATGGTAAAAGGTCCAAACATGTTTTCTGCCTCATATTCCCTAAGCACCCATAGACTCCCCCCCCCCCTTATCTTGGTGTCCCTGGTAGAATTTTTAAAGGAAGTGTCTCCGGCTGTGTTATGGCTCCATCATCTCATCAGGCCGGGGTGCCAGGAGCTTCCCAAACTCTGCACATGTTTGTGAAATTTGCTTCTCTGTGATATACAATTTGTTTTTTGGGACTCTCACTCCGGAAATTCAAAATTTAAAAAAAGCAGAATTGCAGCTGACCCAACATTTGTGAGATTCGCTCACCTCTCTCTACCTGTCATACTGATCCTCTGACCTGGAACAAATATTGCTACAGAGTGTATAAAGTGTATCTTTTGGGTTTACAAATACTTTCAGGTTTATTGTTGTTTTATGATATCTGGGAGCATGTGATCCTGGGCTGCACAGTGCTCTGTGTATGGTGAGGGGTGACGGGTGAGGGGTTGGCCATTGGAGATACCTAGACTGAGTCGGAGCGATGCTGGGAAAATGGAAGGAACAACCCCCATTGTGGAGGCGTCCATTGTTTCCAGAACAGCTGGGAGTGCTGCTCGGCGGAAAGGATCAATCACTTCCCTCTCAGCCCAGGTCCCTGTGATGTTTGGAGGGATTGGTGAATGAAGAGGACATTTGCATAAGGCAAATTAGCACCAATCCCGCTATTGCTGCCTTCAGGGGCAGATGGGATCCTGAAAAGAGGTGTCTGTGGCCTTTAACCTGTAACCTCTGACCCCGCACAGATTATGGGTTACACATTGCAGCACAGACCCTGGGAATTCCCATGCAGGGAAACTTAAGAGGGTCTCACACCACCTGCAGGTGGGCGGAGACTAATCACCCCTAGGGCTAATTATACTGTATATACCCCCAATTTCCATTCCAGGAGTGAGTGCATGACATTACAGTGAGCGGAAAATAATGTCCTAGGGGGCAGATGGAAGGAGAGAGGGGGGGGGGGGGGCAAGAGTTATAGATAGATAGATAGATAGATAGATAGATAATTGATTGATAGATAATTGATCGATAGATAGATAGATAGATAGATAGATAGATAGATAGATAGATAGATAGAGAGATTGATAGATAGATAGATAGATAGATAGATAGATAGAGATAGAGAGATAAATAGATAGATAGATAGATAGATAGATAGATAGATAGATAGATAGATAGATAGATAGATAATTGATTGATAGATAATTGATCGATAGATAGATAGATAGATTGATAGATAGATAGATAGATAGATAAGAGAGAGAGAGAGAGATAATTGATTGATAGATAAATAGATAGATAGATAGATAGATAGATAGATAGATAGATAGATAGATAGATAGATGGAGAGATTGATAGATAGATAGATAGATAGATAGATAGATAGATAGATAGATATATAGATAGATAGATAGATAGATAGATGAGAGAGAGAGAGAGAGAGAGAGAGAGAGAGAGAGAGAGAGAGAGAGAATACAATTGTCAGGGTGGAGCAGAGGGATGATAATTTGTATATGATCTGTTTTGTCAGATTTGGGAGATGAAGAATTGATACATTGTTGCACTCAGAGATATATCAGCTCTGGGGGGGGCGTTACTTGGATGGGAGTTCTTCCATCCATAGAAGGGGACCTCTCTGGGCCGGGCTGGGCTGGTATTGGCTGTGACACTGGGAATTGTTTGCACCATGTAGCCCCAGAACAATCAGATATAATAGAAGTTGGGCAATCTGCTGTACACCTGCCTGCTCCCTCCTCCCCGCTGCTGTCCACTTTGTCAGCCTGGCCCCCCCCTCCTCCCAGCCAGCCTCCTCCATCCATTGTTCCTGGTGCAGATGGAGCTCCAGGCAGCAGCCAATCACAGCTCACTGATCAGCTGACCAGCTCTGGACTTACCCCAGGGGCAGGAGGCAGGCAAGCTCAGTCTGGAAGAGGAGGGAGAGGGGTGAGGTTACATGGGGGGAGAAATCAGGAAAGGGATTGTGGGTGCTGTGACACACAGGGACATGTAGCACTGCTGGAGGGACACAACAAAAAGAGGTAAGCCAGTGCAGCTTGTGTGAATGTGTGACTCCTACTGTATACACTGTGCATGCTCCCTGCAATGGCTCCGGCGTGTGCAGTCGCACAGTACAACCTCTGTCCTTGTGTGTGCTATAAAAAGCTTGTGTATGTGTTTCATTATATATAATACATTGTTGAATCTTGTTTAGCTTTTTTTGTGTTGTGTGTGTGTGTGTGATTGTGTGTACAGTATAACATTCACAATACAATGTGTGTCTTTGTGTGTGCAATTCAAAGTGTGTGTTTTGTACACAGAGCATGTTGTGTTGTCTTATATATACCCTGGGAAGTGTGTATGTGTTTCAGGATATATAATACATTATTACATGGTGTGTTGTTTTATTTGTGTTGTGTGTGATTTGTGTAGTATAACATTCAGAAGACAATGTGTGTCTTTGTGTGTGCAATGTAAAGTGTGTGTTTGTACACAGAGCATGTTGTTCTGTCTTGTATATACCTTCTGAAGTGTGTGTGTGTTTTGCTTTAATTGTGTTGTGCTTGTGTGTACAGTAGAACATTCACAGTACAATGTGTGTCTTTGTGTGTGCAATTAAAAGCGTGTGTTTGTATACAGTGGTTGTGTTGCCTTGTATATACCCTGCACAGTGTGTAAGTGAACCCAAGTCCTTGTGTGTACAATGTAAAGTGCATATGTGCGTTTCTTTCTTTATCTCTATATAGGATGTATAGATGTTTTTTATGTTCCTTGCAAAGTGTGTTTGTGTGTACAGTATAACATCCACAATACAATGTGTGTCTTTGTGTGTGCATTGCAAAGTGTGTCTGTACACAGTGCATGTTGTGTTGCCTTGTGTATATACCCTGAGAAGTGTGCATGTGTTTCAGCATATAGAATACATTGTTTCATCGTGTGTTGCTTTATGTGTCTGCTTGTGTGTACATTATAACATTCACAGTACAATGTGTGTCTTTGTGTGTGCAATGTAAAGTGTGTGAGTGAACCCAAGTCCTTGTGTGTACAATGTAAAGTGCATATGTGTGTTTTTTTTTTCTCTTTCTCTATATAGGATGTATAGATGTTTTTTTCTGTTCCTTGCAGTGTGTGTGTGTGTGTGTGTGTGTGTGTGTGTGTTG